TTAATACCTTGGAAACATCATTGCATGTATAATTAGTGAAAACATAGATCCAAGGTATTTAGGGTTGTAGGTGCACCATAGGATGTTGTAGTATACAAAACCCAACAGAAGCGCCATTCTAGAAGCGCTATTATGGATGAAGAAGTGTCATCCTATGGTTCTAGAAGCGCCACTCTGGAGGTAGAAGTGTCATTCTGGAGGAAGAAGCGCCAATTTGAAGGAAGAAGTGACACTATGGTTCTAGAAGCGCCATTCACGAGGAGGAAGCGCCATCCCTGGAGAAGAAGCGACATTCCTTGCATAAGAATCATCATTCTCATGTTGATGTGTCATCTTATCGCAACGATGCGCCACTTGTGTTCCTTGATGAGCCGTATGCTATGAAGTCCTCTATGATGCTCAATATTGTCTAAGGATGCCATGAAGTTGAAGAAGCTTAAGGACTACACCTTGATGTGCCACCATGATGGATGAAGCGTCTCTAGTGTTCATGATGCACCACATATGCATCATTATGTGCCATTATGGCTCATGATGCTCCATCATGTGTGTTGTTGATGCTTATGGGTTGTATGACATTGATGAATGTTCTAGAAGCTACTACATGGCCGACTGTGATTGGTTGAAACCATTCATGGGCCTATAGGCCAATGGGCTTGGCCCATTAGGGTTTTAAGTCTGATCCCTCAAGTATAAATAAGGATTCATGCTAACTTATTTGTGTTTCTTGTAATTCTAAAGTGATAGGCGTATCTACTTGTAACCTCTGTTTGAGAGCACTGAAATAAAAAATACTCCCCTCCTGCCCATAGGCGTAGGTTACTTTGACCGAAACACGTAAATATTGTGTCTTGTGTGCTTGTGGTTTTGCTAGTTATCCGCTTTATTTCCTAACATATACCACATAACTCGTTCTTTTAGTTAATTTCTCAATTACATTTCTCAATTACATTTCACATACTATTTATTAGTTGTATATTACTACCAAAGTACCATTTACCTCTGCATGTGTTGGAGCTATCCTCATCCCTTAAGTGCTCTCTAGAAAAGAAATTTGTCCACTAATCTAACATGGTATCATAGGTGGTCTAGCAACTCAAGTACTCAACACACGTCTTGTCTAATCACATATGGTCATTGTCTCATTGAATGTTATAGAGTCTCACATTAGTTAGACACAATATCGTTTGTCTTTGTCATGATCGAGTAAGCCTTCTCTCTCCAATGGCTTTTTGGAGAGAAAATAAAGGCCTATCCAACATGGTATCAGAGCGTGGTTTAGTATCTCACAAAATCAATGCACGTCGAGTCTAATCGTATTGATTATCCATATCAAGGTGTAGGTTATAGTCCCACAATTATAGGATACAATCTTATTTTCCTCTATATATCTTAGAGTTGCACAAACAGAAAATACCAACAATCATAAACAACTATCTTGAATCGAGTTAGTCTTTACAATAATCAACAAAAAATAAGGAAACATCAAGATTTCAATTTAAATCTATCATATCTCTTTCCAAGCCGTCGACAAACATCGCGCCTCATCATCTTCATAAATTCCTACAAGTACCAAATGTAGATGAATTAAAAAAAAGATTTTTTTTAGTAAAAGCCCAGAAAAACTACACTCGTGGGGTGAAAGACAAAGAAATTAAGGGAAAACCTCAGCAAGTTCTTCATCTGAACATAAATCAGCAAGACCGTATATATCTTGAATATTTTCATTCAAAAAAACGGTAGTTTCAATTACAGATGAGAATATCTCTAAAGGTGGGTACTGGTCTTCAATCTTTTTAGCTACTTCTTTGAGATTCATCTAAAAATACAAATCATTAAGCACACTAAGAAACAGTTTAAAATAGGAAAAAATGATTAATGAATTCAAATTTGTAGGCTTTTTTTTTAACATAAATGGGGGCATTGTCACAAACAGTTTTTTAAACTTTTTGCTTATTTACTTAACAAACCTGACAATCTACTGATAAGCCCTTGATGCTTGCACTATCACTATAACAACGACGATGAAGCTCTTTTTTTATAGGCGGATGATGTTCAAGTAAATTTAATCCCAAGTCCTCATGATAAAAAGCTTGAGAGAAAAAAGGCATCATTTGTTGAACCATGAAGGACATATCAAGGTCGCCATCAAAACCACTGTCGCCGCCTCCTTGGCATTGGGGCTCACTCATAGCTGAAAACATGCTACCTAAATCTTGATTATCATCCATATGTTGACCAAGTTGACCGATCGCTCTCATCATTTCAGGGTTTCTAGTTATTTGATCCAACATATTCCTTAAGAAATCTTGAGATTCCATTTCAGATTGATTTGGAACTCCGTCTAAGAGACCAATCAAAGCTGGATTTTGCATAAACTGATTCATGATTGTATCTGGATCTAATTGGCCAACGGCGAATGGATGAATTTGGTTTGTAGGAGTAAGAAAATCTGGACTAGAATCGTCATCATCATCTGCATATGACACTGTTGGTCGTGCTTCTCTCTAAAATCACAATTCGAAATTTAGTGCCCAAAATAATATTGAGATTAATCAATTCCACTTTTTATTGTTTCTAAATTGCAGGACAAAAATACTTGCTAAAAGATTAATTTTCTGCCATAAAACCATTTTATTTCCCGAATAGAGTTTACAATAATCCCACTATAAAAACAGAAGATAAGATCCTTAACGTCTCACTTTAAGTTTGTGTTATTTGTATCAAATACAATTAAACCAGACATCAAAAATCATGCTAACACTATCATATTCATTTTACTCCTACCTATTCTATCATAGCTATCATAATTTAAAAATGTGAGAGACAACATACCTTTTTGTAGGTTGGTATATTACACTTTTTTGAAACCGCTTGCTTTGCTTGTGTCTTGAAGAATATTGTAGAGAGTTTGCTAGACGTTTTTCGCTAATTAAAATAATCAAATTAAAATATTTTAAAATATATATACATCGTAAATACCCATTGAGTTAAATTTAAAAAAATAATAATTTATTCATACCAGTTCACTAGGTTTAGGCAAAGCTGGTGACCAAAAAAATTAAGTTAGATTAAAATAACATAAATAAATAAAAAGTTTAATTTGGAAAAAAAACTCACATAGTTCTCTTGAAATCCTTCCATTTTTCTCAAATGTTTGTTCAAAATGAGGCTTGCAATATAAGATCCCATCAAATGAGGAGTAATCGTTCTCCTAAGAGAATAAATAATATAATGTAAATTGTTTATGGTTGTTATAGAATGTTTTTCGAACACTTGGTCAAAATTTTATTATACAATCATAAAACATATGCACATATATCTATTGTTTGTTGCTTGATTCTTATTAATTAAATTGGAATTTATATGAGAGGCCACACGATCTTAAGGCTCACATCATCCTTAAACTATAACAAATACGAAACGGAGCCTTCGCGATCACCTAATGATAAAAGATAAAAGGTATTTTCTATTGTTTTTGTAAATATATAAAACAACCACCTACTATTGGTTTCAGATCCTATTTCATGATATGTAGAACCTCATAATCAAGTCAAACGATTCATTGATCCAAATCTAACAAAAAGATTAAAAAAAATACCGAAAGCTTTTCATCACACTGGCTGCATTGAAAACATTCATTATGATACAAAACTCCATCGACGAATATCTCTTCATCTGGATCAACAGTTTCATCACAAACAATGCAAATCTCTGTAGACATTTCCTCAAATTATTATTATTATTATTTTTCCTTTACGAATCCAAACTCATTACTTCCTAAATTTAGAAAGAACATTCAAGGTGGTCAAATCATTTTCAATTTTCAAGAAAATGTACGCTTATTTAGTAATTAGAGGTTAGAAATTAAGGGTCTATTATAAATTAGAATAAATTACAATGATGGTCCTTTTTTGCATGTGATTTTTTAGAGTTTATAATTAATCTTTAATTCTTTATAAAAGTCTAAACTAAAAACTCCAACATAATAATTCATAAAGCCAAGTACCATTTCTAAAAGTAAAAGCCATATTTCATTTAGTCCTTCTAAGATCATCGTTCCATAAGAAAGATTTACATAGACGTAGCGGGTAAACGAACAACAAGCTGTGTCGCAACCCCTTTTGGATGGTAAAACTAAGGCCCTGTTTGATACTCGTCTGACTGAGTCAAGTCAGAAATTTTTGGCTGACTCGGTCAGCTGTAGCTGTTTGATAACCCTTCTGACTGAGAAATTGAGGTCTGACCCGGTAAGAGAGAAGGAATCGGCTGACTGAGAAAGGAAGACGTCTAATTCCACTTGTGCCCTTGCGTGTATATCCCTGTACGTGTAGGAAGAATCGATCCAACACCCCTTTTACATCTCGTTCGTAATAGGCTCACAGAATCGATCATCCAACACCCCATT